AATGGGAACTTAGTATATGATTTTCAAATGACTGTTACTAATACAAAGGGTTGAAGTTAATATAGTTAGCCATAGAGAGACTGTGTTAAAACTCTTTTCTAAGTATTTCCCCATTTATTAAAATTTCAGGTCTACTCTCATTGTGGATTTCTGTGTGTTTCCAAATGGGAAATGATGCAGAGTTTACATTAGCTGGGCTTTCAGTAATATTTACTCTCCCCTACAGACCTCATTATCCTGCAGTTGCCGAGCCTGTTCTCTGTCTCCCTTCTTCGTACAGGTCTCAAGCAATGAATCTTGGAAGAGATGTGAACTCAGGGCCTGCTTTTTATCATTATCAATGAAATCTTTTTTTAGTCTTTTTTTTTTCCTGATTAATGTACCTTCATTTCTCTTTTAGTACAGTCAGTCCAGCATATTCCAGAATCCAAGGATGCTCAAGCCTCAAATAAAGTGGTGTAGAATCTACATGTAACATGTACAAACTCTCCTGTACTTTAGAGCATCTCCAGATTACAGTGGGAAATGCTATGTAGTTATTATACCGTATAGTTAGGGAATAACAACAAGAAAAAGTCTGCCTATGCAGTACACATAGTTTTTTTTTTTTTTTTTCCCCCAAGTACTTTTGTGCTGTGCTTGGTTGGATGTGCGGTGTGGAGCCTGTGGGCGTGAAGGCCGACTGCCTTGTTTGACCTATCTCCTGCCGTCCTTTGACTTTGGACTTTCCTGTGTGCTTCTGTTGGAGAGGTGTCTCTTCTGCACAGTGTGTGGTTGGATTTGTTTTTTCAGTCAGCCTTTGAGTTTTATTTGAAGTATTTAGTTAGTTCACTTTTAATATAATTACTAACATGATTTTGTTTATACTTACCTTGTCTGTCTTGATTGACCCTGGTTTTTCCTCCCATTCTGTAAGGGTGCCTTATCATTTCATTGTTTCCAAGTGGCCGTAGCAGCCACTTGGGGAGTGAACCAACGGAAGAAAGACCTTTCTCTCTCTTTCTCTCTCTCACTATCTATAACTCTACCTGCCAAATAAAAAAATAAAAGAGAGAGAGAGACAGAGAGAGATCTTCCATCTGGTGGTTCATTCCTCAAGTAGCCGCAGGCTGGAGCTGGGCTGATCTGAAACCAGGAACCAGGAGCTTCTTCTGGGTCTCCCATGTGGATGCAGGGGCCCAATGAGTTGGGCCATATTCCACTGCCTTCACAGGCACATTTGTAGGGAGCTGGATCTGAAGTAGAACAACCAGGACTCATATGGGATGCTGGTGCTGCAGGCGGCAGCTTTCCCCGCTGTGCCACAGAGCCAGACCTAATACTTCATTCTTCATGTGTAGGCATGCAACTAACTTTTCTATGTTGATTTTTGTATGCTGCAACTTTACTGAAATTGTTTATTGGTTCTTACAGGTTTTTGGTGCTCGCTTTTAGTTATCTCATAAATACTTATGACATCCGTGCATGGCTGATGTATTATTATTATTCCAGGTTTTAGTTTTGAAAATTGAAACCCAGCTTATTTAAGTGACTATTCTGAAATCTGCTTGTATGTGGTAGAAGATAGATTTTCCTAAATTTGCTTTTTTTTCCTCTTATGCTATATTCTCTTTCTTCTGAAATCAGAATATGAAACATGGAATCAGAACAGGCCCAGGGTGGGAACAGGAAGGAAATAATTGGATGATCTTAATTAACAACTTGAGTGATGGCCAGGCAACTCTCACTTCCACAGTGGGCAGAAACATTTAGCATGGACCAGATTTCCGAGTGAGTGAGTGAGTGAGTGAATGGTCCTTTGTCAGTTCTGGAAGCAATATTGCGGGTCTTTCTTTGACTCCTACCTTCATGACTGTTTATGGATCATTTTGATTCTCCTAGTAAACAGCCATTCTGGGTATAAGGGTTTTTGTTTTGTTTTGTTTTGTACCTATGATCACAGTTCAGGTATGTTTTTCAGAAGTTTTGAAGTTGTTGTTAGGAGACCTAAATCCTACTCAAGGAACTTAATTGCCATCCCTTGGCAGTGACTGAACATCTGTTTCCACATTGGTTAGATTAATCATTTGAATCTCACAGTCTCTAATGCATGAATCAGGAAACTTTTGCCACAAAAGGCCACATAGTAGAGATTTTAGGCTTTGCAGGCCAAGAGGCAAACTGCAAGATACTAAACAAGTAGGTGGATAAGTCAGAGGGAATACTTGTCCCATCCACCTCATTTCCTGGAGATAAGCTATTCCAGGTGGTACACTTGCTTTCTGCTGAGTTGTTAGCAAGTAACTACATTGAAAGTACAGAGCAAAAACAATTACAGGGAAAAAAGGCTCACTAAAGTGGGTGAATGGGAGCAGGTGCTGTGGCGTAGTGAGTAAAGCCGCTGCCTGCAGTGCCGACATCCCATATGGGCGCTAGTTCGAGTCCCAGCTGCTCCACTTCTGATCTAGCTCTCTGCTATGGCCTGGGAAAGCAGTGGAAGATGAACCCCTGCACTACGTGTGAGACCCGGAAGAAGCTCCTGGCTTCAGATTGGCACAGCTCCAGCCATTGCGGCCATCTGGAGTGGGGGAGTGAACTGCGGATGGAAGACCTCTCTTTCTCTCCCTCCCTCTCTCTCTCTCTCTCTGCCTCTGCCTCTCTGTAACTTTGCCTTTCAAATAAATAAATAAATCTTTAAAGTGGGAGAATTTTTGTTTTTCCTCTCAGTTTTGATAGATAAAGTAGATTTTTAAATGGCATATACCAGGGGTCTTCAAACACTTTATGGAAATGCATATTATGAAAAACCTATGCATCTATTTGATAAGTAAACCTTTCAGACAAAAGAGCCATCTTAATTTCATTTCCACAATCTTTTTGAAATGCCTTCATAAAAGATTTGAACAGCACAGAGCTTGATCTAATAGACACATACAGAACACAACACGCAACAGCTGCAAAGCATATACTCTTATCCACATACAGAGAGGATTTCTAAAAAATGCTGTGAGATGTAATCCAATTAGTGATATTGAATTGGAAACTAAAGTCTTAGCCTTTTGAACACAAAACTTCATAATTTGATATGAACCTGAGCCATTTTTCTTTTTGAAATAATGCTTTGTATTTACTAAGTATAGTGTTTTCTCTATATAAATATAAAACTTACCATGTGTTCACCCTTTTTAACTTGTTAGTCAAGTAATGACAACTGAATGAACGATACATGACAGTTTTCTCTTTAAAATTGTCATGGAAAATGTCATAGAGTCCGCATAAGCACAGTAGGATGTACATGAACTCTAGCTTTTGATTTTTATTAAGCCACCTACTTGCTCTGGGGTCTGGGAAGTGATTTAACTTTCCTAATGTGGGGAGTAGGGCCCTGTGGGGAGCAGGGCCCGTCTACCGCAACATGGCGAAATAAGTACTGAGACTATCGAGACTAGACTAGACTACTGAGACTATTGAGACTAACTCAATGCGCCTGGTCTCCCACCATATGGGATTGAGAGGGAGTAAACAAATCTTACACAGCTGCTTCGTCAATTAGCTGATTCCTGATCCAACCTCTGATTGGAGGAGAACAGCGTGCTCAGCACGTGGGCAGCAGAGCACGGATTGGTGGGAGAGGACTATAAAGGTGAGATAGAAGGGGGGGGGAGATCCGCTTATGCGCCGCGAGGCACCACAGACATCTCACACCACGCGCCAAAAGAATAACAAGAATGCGGACACACACCAAGTGGAATGCGGTTAGCACAGGAGCAAACTTGAGCGCACAACGCAGAGTCATTCGCTTAAACAACAGCGTCCAGTCCGGTGTCGTTCTCCCGCGAGCTGCGGAGGAGCGACACCTAAGGCTTATCTGTAAAATGGGTATAATAATGTCCACCTCATAGGGCCAGGAGGAATATATGTGATAATGTGTATAGAGTACTTAGTACCAAGTAGTCAATACTATTATTTTTTCATTATTCATATAGTATTTATTTAGTATCCACAAAGTATTAGTACCATAGTAAGTGGGTATATTAATTCCTTAAGGGGTGTATTAAATCCTTTATATTGCCATACAGCAGTTATAGGTTGTCAAGTCTCCAAATTTCTTTTGACATTACCGGTGCCTTTCCCTGCTGGTCTCTAGCAGTTAAAAATAAGAAACTGGGAAAAGACAATGGGCTGTTCAGAGTAAGCTCTCAGATCAACTTTGTTTCTTGGGTTTCACAGCACTTAGTACTGTATGGAGTTATTTGGTTCTCTGGTTTGACCTACTGAAACATGGTTTTTTCAGCATTAATTGTTCTGGTGTTTCCGTAAGTACCTGAACAATAAGTTTTAAAGCAAGACTGAGCTCAGGCCTCAGGGGTGATATTCTTATTTGTCACCCAGCCAGCCACCCAACTCTGAAAAAGGCCCAGATCCACATTTTAATTTCTAGATTCCTTAAGTAAGTATAGATGGGATATTCTGAGGTATTCCAATAGATACTCTGAGATTATAAACGGAATTCAGTGTTTCCTGATTACATTTGTAGTTTTTAAAGGTTTATCAGTCATGTCTGTTATTAATGAAACAAGGCTGTCTCAATTGGAATCCTTAAGGACTGACAGTTTAATTCAATTGTTGAACTAGGACTTTATTTTTGTTTTCCCAGAAACCTTTTATTTAAGGTATACGAACCTCATGCATTTCAGAAATACACTTTTAGGAGCACAGTGATTCCTCCCATCCTGCCTGCACTCCCACCCTTCTTCCTCTTCTCTCTTCTATTCCCATTCTTACTTTTTACTAAGATCTAGTTTCAATTAACTTTATACATAGATGATTAATTCTATACTAAGTAAAGAGTTCAACAAATAGTATGAAAGGACTTTAAACATAAGTACAAATTTGTACATACAGATTTTTGTGGATTCAGCTACATATCTTTATCAAAGGTACTAAAAACGTTTCAGAAACAAGGACATGATGTAGTCTCATTTTAAAAGTTTCTTATGAAAATGTTCTCATGTTTTTAGATTACCTCTCTGGTGACCCTTCAGCTGTTAGCCCTGGTTGGCCACGATGATCAGCTTGATGGGCCCAAATACAAATGCACAGTATCTCTAGACTTCATCAGAGCAATTGCAAGGTAAGAATTGAGTGATTGATAATGTAAAATGTCTTGATTTTTGTAAGTGATACACTGAATACAAATATTACTTTTTTCCTAATATAGTATCATTAATCATTTAGAGAAGAAAAGGTAATTTAAGTACCAGAGTAGATAAGTTTCACTGTAGAATGGACCCTCTCATAAAATTTACCAGGGACATAAAATTAAAAGAAATAGCTAATATGCTAGATGGCAAAAATACAGATTATAGGAGACTTTAACAGACTGGAGTAATGGCCCCTATGGTAGCAGACAGTTGGCTGTAGAAAAAGTCTTCTGTACTGAAACAAGATGGGAGAGATTTGGCTGAGATCCTGAATGTTTTAGCTGACTACAAGGTCTTAAAAATCCTAACTTAGGAAATATTGTTAGAAATGTGTAGTGTCTTGTTCAAGGGATATAATCATTCTACTCCGTGTTACCGTAGACACATCAAATCTGGTGTGCTGTGCTGTTTCGAGTTTTAGGAAAGGAATTGACAAATGCCTCTGTGCTGAAGGGACACAAAAAGAGTGGTGGGATACGTAACTGTGCTACATCTCTGACTGAAATATGAAGGGTGGGAGAAGAGCCTTAGGGAGGACATGTTAACTCTCTCAGGTATTCAGGGGCTGTCTCGTGCACAACAAATGACACTACGTGTAAGTAATTCTAGAGCATGAGGAAAGATGGCTGTCCAAATGAGAGCTGTCTGAAAATGCAGTGAGTTGCTTCAGAGTGTTCAAGGCATTTATGTGAATGGTCAGAACTGGGCACTGATCTGTTAAAGACTGTGCTAGAAGATGTCACACAAGTGTTGATTCCTGGGTGGAACAAGACAGTCCAGAAGACAGTGTGCTCCAAACTTTTTTGAATATAAAGATTTCATTTTAGCATCCTTTTAAAATGAATCATGAAAGTATTTCCGTATCTTTCGAAATTGATAATATTCAGGCATGAGACAGTATTTGTTGGGCCTAAAAACAGGGTTTGATGTGGGTATGGATTTGCTGCACAGACAGCAGCTCTGTCCTGAAATCTCTTCTAAATTTGAAAGTCCCATAATGCCAGTGTGGGTATTTGCCAAATTTCCATGACATATAGACTGCAGACATGAAGGAGGATTTTAATGTTTCATTGTAATAAAAAAGAGCAAACTGTAACACAGGTTACTGAAAAGAAACCTTTTTGGGATGTATCAGTATATTCGTAAAGCCATAACTTTGCTTTTCTAAATAATGATATTGGAACCTCTAAGAGCCTTTATCTGAGGCATAACTTTGGAATGAAGTCCATTTTCTTCAGAAGTTGTTGCCTCTGCCCTGAATGTGTTGGGCCGTGCCCCAACATTACTGTGCACAGGGCATGTATGGGGATCGCATATGGGTCCCTGTATGCTTAGTGAATATCCATTGAAGCAAACTGAAATTGCTGTCACCCCATCCAGAGCATCACAGTGATGTTAAACCCATCTGGAGACATGCCCTTCCATTTACCCTCAGAAGAAAGAGGAACTGTAGACCTGGAATTTTGTCATAGAATCTGGGAACTTTGTCAACATCCTTTCCTTGGTTTTCTTTCTTCCTCCCTGCTGTCCATGGGCAGTATGCAGAGCACCCCCTTCTTCCCTCATCTTCCTCATCCACTCTTTCGCCCCCATGGTATTCCATTTCTGCTGACTGCCCATGTTCTGCCATCATCTTCTCATCGTCATCTTCATTGCCTGAACTAAATCCTGAGTCATCCCTGAGAATATCACTTCCCATTGAGTTCTCTCTCATGGTAACCACTGCTTTTCTCAAACCTCAGCAACATCCTTGCTTCTTGTTGCTAGTTCGAGACTTTCACTACCCCCAGCTTGTAAACTGTGGCTTTCTTGGAGACTCATGCAATTTGGCTCTGTTTCTGTATTCTCCTTATGAGAAATTGTCTCCTACTAGCCTGCCATCCTGTCAACCTCATGTATTAAAGGACAGAATACATGGGTCACAAACCTATTTTCCTCCTAGGTCCTTGACTCTCTTCCAGCTACAAATCTATATTCACACTGTTCATCCTCCCTGTTTCACAGAACGGAGTTGAAAGTATCAGTTGAGAAGTCATTCAGCTACCTGCTTAGCACTCGTCTTCTCTATTTGTCCCTTTTCAGTAGAGTAGGACCCAAGATCTCAGGATCTCAGGTGGATTCATCCACGTGTACTGTGAATTCCATCTTCTCTTCCCCTGAACCTCCCTTGGTCTCTGGCTGTTTGTTGTCTCCATGGCACCCAACAGAGTTGACCACCCTGTTTCTTTCTTTCTTTTTTTTTTTTTTTAATTTTATTTAAGGTATACAGATTTCATGTGTTTCATATATACAGATTTAGGGGCATAGTGATACTTGTTGACTACCCTCTGTTTATTTCTTTTTTTTTTTTTATTTAAGGTATACAGATTTCATATATACAGATTTAAGGGCATAGTGACACTTCCCACCCACCCCACCTCCTGCTATGCTCCCACCCTTCTTCCTCCTTCATAGAGCCCAAGATTCCATCATCCTTGGGCTTTCCTCTTTATTCTTTGGCAGTTTTGACTAAAGCTCATTTACCAAATTTTCCTTTCCACTTGACCTTTAAATATAACTATGCCTGAGGCTTTGTCCTCAGCTCTTTTCTCTTGTTGTACCTTTTACTAGTCAAGTTAAGCTACACCATGACTTCCAACAACCATCTGAATATTAATAACTCCCCTATTTTTAAAGGCCAGACTTTTAAAAATAATATTCTTGACCTTTATTGAATGTTTCCCAGCTATATCAATATGTTTCCAAAACTGAAATCAGGGATTCTAATCCCTGCTTCCACACACAGGAAAAGGGAAAGATCTTTCTTGCTTCCAGTGTTCCATTTCAATGAAGAGCGTGGCAGTCCACCGTGTTGCACAAGCCTGAAACCTGGGAGTCCTTCTTGACTTCTCTGTCTCCCACACTCCCAGTATCAATCATTAGTCACCTCTGTGTATCACAGATTCATTCTTTTTCATTATTTGTACTTCTGCCACCTGGTAGACCAAGCCACCATCCTCTCTTCTCTAGTAGTCTCCTATTTGATCACCTATCCACTCTTATCCTCCTATAATTTATTGTTCATTGTATACCAGAATGATCATAAAGAAATTTAATGTCACCTTTCTACTTAAAAGTCTTCAATGATTTCCCATTATTCTTGGGATAAAAGACCAGAATCTTTAAATCTTTAAAACCCTGCAATGCCAAAATGAACTGAACTCTACCTCTGTGCCCAGCCACATTGCACATGTGCTTTCTCCCCTCGGAGTTTGTGCTTCAACTACTCTGGCTCATTTCAGGTTTTCAGTTGTGGTTTGCCTGCTAGCATGGTGCATATGCAGTATTCTCCAGCTTCTCACTTTCATCTAGCTGTTAGAGAACACTGAGATTTCAGTTGAAGTGTTCCTTTAGGAAGCCTGTCAAACATACCAAGACCACGATTGCCACCACCCTCGATGCACACAATTAGCAAGTTTCCATTGTGTTCTTCATGGTATGTATCACTTTAATTAAATAATTAACTGAACAAATAGAGTTCATCTTTCTAGAACATGAGCCCAGGAAGCACAAAGCGCAGACTGCATTTGTGTTTGTCACTACTTTATCCTTAAGCCTAGCACGATGCTTTAAACTTAGTATGTGCTAAAAAAATAAATAGGACATATTTTCCTATAGTGAGTAGCAGTAACACTTCAGATGAAGCAAAACTATGTGGGTTTGTTTTACAGGGCACCAGGAAGAAGAGAGATAAGGAGATAGTCCCATTCTAAATTGAGTCTTGATATAGGGAGGATGTCCCAAGGATGGTCACCAAGAAGAGGCAAGGCAGCCTCACACCACCCATTTTTGGCAGAGAATGAATGATTGGATCACAAGGCACAAGCCAGATATATAAAATTGCAGGAAACTACTCGTGATATGAGTTTAAGTGAAGAAGGCAGTTATACAAGATAGAAAGTTGTACATACAAAAAGAAAAAAACCAGAAATACCTGAGGAAAGTAATGGTCAGAAGTCACTTACAGAGTGGGCATTTGGCCTAGGAGCTAAAACGCTCTGTAGCTCCTGATTACAGCTTCATATTAATGGCAGACCCTAGAAGACAGTGGCAGTGGCCAAGTAGGTGCATCTCTGTCACCCGTGGGAAACCTGGGTTCAGTTCCTGGCCCCCAGCTCTGGCCCTGACTTCGGCTGAGACGTTGTGAGCCAGCACATAGGGCTCTTTGTCTCTGTGTATGTCTCTTGTCTCTCTCCGTCTGTTGCAATGCCTTTCAGGAAAAAAAAAAATGTCATGTGCTGCCGGGACCAGCACCATGGCGCAGTAGGCCTATGGCGCCGGCATTCCATGTGGACGCCAGTTCAAGTCCCGGCTGCTCCTCTTGCAATCCAGCTCTCTGCTATGGCTTGGGAAAGCAGTAGAAGATGGCCCAAGTGCTTGGGCCCCTGCACCCTCATGGGAGACCAGGAAGAAGCACCTGGCTCCTGGCTTCAGATTGGCACAGCTCCGGCCGTTGCAGCCATTTGGGGAGTGAACCAACGGAAGGGAGGCCTTTCTCTCTGTCTGTCTCTCTCTCTCTCTTTCTCTCTCTCTCTCTCTAACTCTACCTGTCAAATAAATAAAATCTTAAAAAAAAAAAAAAAAAAAAAGTCATGTGCTACCAAGAAAGCAAGTAGAGTCCTAGTCCTCAGGTTTAATGATAAAGTCATCGTTTGTGACTTTGCCAGGAACTCTTACATACAGTGATGGGGTAGAAGTAAGTCAGATTATAGATATTTGCATAGTGTTTTATGAGAAAGTACATGTAATGAATAGAGAGAATGCTTTTCTTTCCTTTATTCACTTGCCAATAATTTGACTGCCCAGCATAAACAAACACTGTGCTAAAGCTTTGGGAAGATACAGCAATGGTATAACATAGCTATATCCTCTCATGAGCCTACATTCTAGGATTTTTTCCTTTTTGTCATAAGGAGGGAGAAAGGATTACACGGTTGAGAGAAGGCTATTATATATTTTTTAAAGAAATGAGCTGATAAGAGCATAGAGAAGGTGAGTTAATGATGCAGAAGAGAGATTAAGTCAAAGCACAAAATCCTTCAAATGTTATGTGAGCATGGGACTTAGGAAATGAGTTATGAGATGAGAAAGGGGAGTCCTCATTCATTGTAATGAGAAAAAGATGAATTTAAGTGGAACAATTTGGATGTTTGGTGACTTCTGTTTTCTCAGTGAATAAAGAGGCAAAAAGGGGTGAAGGGCAGAGCTAGTCGCAGTGTGAAAGAAATATGGGATATTTGAAAAGCTGCTGTGAGGAATGGAAGAAAGTGTTGACAAGGAAAGCAATGTGCTGGAGTGCTGAGGTTCTTGACCTTGGATGTACAAGGGCACCCTCTGTAAGACTTACGATCTTCTCCAGTAACACTGCATGTGCCAGGTACTGGAAGACCAAAGAATTATAGTCGAAATCACATAGCATTGGGTTTTCTCCAGGTGAGTTCAGTGAATGCTAGCCAGTGAGCACTTGCCATGATGGTTGATAGAGACTAAGCTTGGAGGAACAAGAAGAAAGTAAAGCCAGTTGAGGACTAATAGTTCAATACCTGACATAAACATACTCAGTACGTATTTGTAGACAGAGAAAAAGGGAAGAAGTTTGTGGGCATTTTGTCCCAAGGTGTTCCAAATAGTGTAAATGGCAGAAATTGGGGATCAGAGGGTAAAATGTCTGAATCCATGTTTTTAGAGGTAGAACATATGTGTGTGTGATCCTGAGAGTGGAAGAGAAGGTCGTTGGAGGTGGGAAAGACAAGACTGTGGTGCAGTTGCTCGGCTGGTGCAGGCCTTGGGATGGAGAGGAATTTTGATCTGGAAGCTACGTTGTTCACTGACGAGGAACCAGAGAGTAGTGAGTGATCTCCAGGGAACAGAGCTTTTGGCACAGGACACTGACCTCACCTGACAGAACTGTCCAGGGCCCAGTAGAGTTGAATCTTCACTGGAAGGAGCCGAGGAAAAGACGATGTGCCTGGAAGGCAGCAGAGTACGGCCATGTCCTTGGGCTTCTGCCAACCAGGCCCAGCTGTGGCAGCCATTTGGGGACGATAGACTCGCTCTCTCACCCTCTCTCTCTCCCTCCCTGCCTCCTTGCTGTTGCTCTGCCTTTCAAATAAATGAATCTTTCCTTAAACATTTTTTGAGCTGTTTTAGTTTTCATTTATTATAATTCAGGGCTGAGCTAAAGCTGGCAGCCGGGAACTCAGTGTAGGTCTTCTACATGACTAGCAGAACCCCAACTACTTGAGCCATCACCCTCTGTCTCCCAAGGTCTGCAATGGCAGGAAGCTGGAATTAGGAGCCAGAGCTAGGAATTGAACCCAGACACTCCAGTGTGGGGCATGGGAATCTTAACTACTAGGCCAAATGTTTGCCCCCATAATTATTGCTTTAAAATTATTTATTAGAGGGGACTTGTCAGTAAATGGGGAGGTGAAGGAGGGTCCTCAAGATTGGAATGAAATACAAAAATAAAACAGCTTTATGATTTAATAACCATACCTTTTGTGCCTTTATGCAAAAGTGGTTTTTTTAATAAGTAATTATTTTTAGTTACTTTATTGCTGCTGTTGGTAACAGGATTGTTTTTGGCAGTGCTTCTGTCCCATTTGGAAAGGTTTGCTACTCTTCAGAGAGGACCTGTTAGAATGAAAGAAGGAATTCTTTAGTCCAACATTAGGAACCACAATAGCCAGCACCTCTCCTCTGAGTGATTTTCAAACATATTTGCATAAGCAGATTCTATAGTCTATTTCAAATTTTAAAAAATATTTGGTGTGTCAGTCATTTACTTAGAAACTTTTTTAGAAAGTATATTATAAAATGATACAAAAACATTAATTGATGACGGCTTAATAAAAAAAGCATGCAATTAGTGAATCTTTAAAAGGCTGTTCTCACATGGATGATTATTTTTGCAGAATTGAATACTTGAGGCTTTTATTTTATACTTACTGCTAGATCATTATATCTAATTATTTTGACCATTTATTCAAATAATAAACCCCCAGTCTGAATATTTATAGTGAAGAATGAGTTTGAAAAAAAGAATATAATTATATGTCTCTCTCTCTGCTGTTTTATTCTGCTTGCCTTCAGAGTACAAAAATATACATTCACATCGTCTGTTTGTTGTATGGTATTCTTGGATCCTACAGATTTAGTTACAATACACAACACAGGTCAGCCAGTGCTAGAAAACTGAAAAGAATGAAAACTACAAATGAGGACAGATGAGCGATGGTTTCTGTAATGAGAAAACAGGTGTTTTGGAAGATAAACAATGTTCAGAAGCAAAGGAGATTTAAATACTTTTGCATCTCTAATTACTTTATTCTGATTATTAGACCAAAAAAAATAACTTTCAAATGAAATCTAAGCTTTTTGTAGAATAATTGAAATACAGAACATAAGATGGTTCTAACTTTTCTCTTTTAGAAAAGCAAACTTTATGGTACAAACAAAATAACTTTTTAAAGAAACTGTGTTGAGTGACGTTTTAAAAATGAGTGCCCGTCCCCTAGTGCTGCACTTGGTAGCTTTAGTTGTGCACGATTCTGCACGTGCTTCCCTGAACCATACAAAGCTGAGCAATCTAGGGGTGAAGATGCTAACATATTATCTGTTTTTGTTTATAGGACGGTGAACTTTGACATAATAAAATACTTGTATGATTTCTTGTGAAAACAAGCTTCAAAGCCATATGGACACTGTGACAGTGACTAAGCCAAGCTGTGTTCGTCCAACGACTTGGCTGGCCGGGGAAAGGAGTTCTTTGGCTCTATTGGATTTGTCCAAACAGGTGCTGGCCCAGCATGGAATCTGATGAAAATATTCTGATTGGTCTGGGTGGACGTGAGCAGAAGACTATTTACCAGGGACCCTGGAGTATTTGGAAGCAACGTGTTAATTATAAACAGCAGGGTTTGCACACAATCTGTTCTAGTCTTAATGATGTTATCTTAACACTGAAATTGCCTGAAACCCATTTACTTAGGCCTACATTTTGCTCTGTGAACTATCCCCTGCGCTTTGAACGTGCCAGCAGCCCTTGTTTATATGCCCAGTCTTTTCACTTCCTCTCCACAGGAGCCTCTGCAGTTGCTTGCCAGAGCAGGTTTTCCTGAGGCCACCGTTTTAAAAGATCATAGTTGCAAAATATAAATACAAGTTCTTTTTAAAATCCAAGCTTGTGTATGCTTCTCGTTTCACTCAGATTTTCTCAAAAGACAGGGTGGCTGGTTGAGATGTAGACCGACTTTCCATCTCTAAGACTGGTTCAGTGTCAGGTTTTTCTGGTCAGTCTGGCAGTTAACCACCCAGCCTAGCTTTTTATCAAACAAGACAAGTTTTCTTTGTCCAATTGTTGGCCTTTAAGAATTCCACAATAAAGTATTTTCTTATTACACCAGTGTGAACTTTGTTTCTGATTTTCTTGTCTGTTCATATTTTTGACGTTTTCTATTAGCATTTAAATGCTTGAAAAATTATTTTGAACAGCCTGGTGTAAATGTAGCTGGTATTTGATTGCTTAATTCCATTTTGAAGAAAAATTCTCCATCGGCACTCCCAGATAGGAATCCTTTCCGTGTAGTTTTTGTCTGACATCGTCTGGTTTAGAGAAAACAAGTGGCTGTCTGGCCGCTTTCACCTAGAGGCAAGGAGCCACAGACAGAAGGATGAACTTCCTTCTTCCCTTCCTCCTTAAGACAGCAAGGAAAGAATTCTGGCCCAAAGGGTGGATCCACAACAAGGGACAGTGTGTCCTCCCTCTGCCTTCTTGCCTCACAGAAAATGGCCACGTCAGGGCCAGGGAGAAACCACGTATAGCCTGGGTTCAGGGTTCGGTTTCCTGCATGCAGAAACCCTTGTGTCATCAAAGCAGGAAGCCCTGTGGTAGCTCAAAGGAGAGCAGTGCCACCTGGGAAAGTTTCCAGCCCCTCAGATTTGGTTAGGCAGGTGCAGGTGCTGTGCAGCCTGTCCTGGATGGGCAGGGCCAATCCACATCTTGAAGGAACAACTCTGGGTTTTCAGAGGGGAAAGCAGTTATCACATTGGAGACTGAGCAGGACTGAAAAGAGGCCAGGTGTCCCTTGGGTGACTGTCCTTCCTCCTCTTTGCTGTTCATCTGTCTCCTGCCCGGCACGTTGGCTCTTTGTATTGCTCCATACCTGGTTACCAGCCCCAGGTGTGGCACCTTGCACAGTGTCTTGCCCTTGCCCCCTGACTTGGCCCTCAGAACTTTCCTGTTTTGTAATTTGCTTCCTAATGACTTGCTAAATGACTCACTAGCTAATTTGATTAATTTATTTAAATGAATACTAACAGAGTTTAGCATGGATATTAGCATTTCAACAAGGGTCATCTGCAAATGGCATGTTCTAATTGGAAGATATAAATCTCCCAATTACAAGAGGCAATCTGATGATGAGGATCATGCTGACTGGCAGGCCAGATATTTCTGTTAAGAGAGAAAGCACTTAATGTTCAGCTTCTATTCTTCCTTGATCTAAAAGTGACTTAGGTGGTAGAGGCAAAACGCTATTAAGGCGTGAGTTTTCAGGTTATTCATATGTAGTCAGTCTCCCGTTTTAGAAATATTTTTGATTGCCACGAGCCAGGAATTCATAGGTAGAGAACTTACTTTCACTTCCTTCTTCCTTTCAAGTCCCTGGACCGCTCTGCATTGACAAAGCAGTTCTTTGGCGACAACCCCAGAGAAGATTCTGATCCACCAAGCCTCATCTCATTGATCCCAAAAACCCACACAGGGATTGAGTCTTGATGCAAGGGCAGCAGTGAAGACTGCAGGCTCTGGGGCCTCACTGCTTTAATCAAATACCAGCTATGTTGCTCCTGGCTGTGCGGCCTCAGGCAAGTTCTTTAGCCTCTCTGCCCCTTCCTGTTCTCACTTTACCTCATTGAGTTGTTTACAGGATTAAATATACCTAAGGCCGTGCTAGCTGTCATCTGGAGGCAGAGAACATTGCCCTGCAGAGAACATTTAGGAATTTCTGGAGACATTTTTGGTTGTCTTACTCAGTATGGGGTAGGAAAGAGTAGGGACCTGGGTTGCTGCTAAAAACATTAAAATATCCACCCTGTAACAATCATTTAGTCCAAGTGTTAATGAAAGGAGTCAGAGTGGGAAGCGTAAAAAGGTAGAACAAGGGGGCCCCTCCAGTAATGTGGCTTAAGCTAGAAACCGGTGTGACAACAGAGACATGAACAATTTCGTTGATTAGTCAGGAGAAAAGCAGGCTGGGGCCAAGGCCATGCCAAAGGCCAGGTGGCTGGAGTTGTCTGTGACCAGTTTCAGAAAAACAGCTCTCCCACTGCTGATAGGCCCCAAGATATAACTTTTTCTGTTTCCTGCAAAAAGTCAGAACCAAATAGGAGGAATGGGAGATATGGCAGGATGAGCTCACCACACAAGAAATACTTTTCTTGAAGGATCTTGTACAAAGTTTCCCGTGGGTATAAGACCCCCAGATTACTTTCTTTCAACAATTTTTTCCTGCTAAAGAAGCCCCTCCCAGCGGCTTTCCCGAAAGCTTTCCCTCTGCTCCTTGATTCTGTCAGCTCTTTTCAATAAAACTCTTTGTAGCAGGTGTAATATCAGTTGTGTAAAGGTGGATGAACCTTGCTCTAGCTCTAGTAAGGTGCTTGGCTCGTGGGAAGTGCTCGGTAATGTTCACTGCTGCTACCAGGAAAGACTTGTCTGTGGCCCAGAAAAAAGGTAAGTTGGGGAATTCAAATCCTTTTTTTTTTTTTTAGGTTTATTTTATATATTGAAAACACAGGTCACAGAGAGAGAGGGAGAGACACAGAAAGGTCTTCTGTCTGCTGGTTCACTCCCCAAATAGACACAACAGTCAGGGCTGGGCCAGACCTAAGTGGGGAGTCAGGAGCTTCTCCCAGGTCTCCCACATGGGTACAGGGGCCCAAGGACTTGGGCCATCTTCCACTGCTTTCCCAAGAAGTATTAGCAGGGAGCTGGATTGGAAGTGGAGCAGCCAGGACTTGAACTGGCACCCTTATGAGATGCTAGCATTGCAAGTGGAGGCTTTACCTGCCACGCCATAACGCTGGCCCCTGCATTTAACTATACCTAGAAAAAAAGTAATTTAAAATTTTGGAGTTACTCAAATGAGCACAGTACCCCAGGGATCTGGATTCTAATTCCTATGCAGATGTCATTACTTACTTCTCAGAGGATCGTGTGGGAAAGTCAGAAGTACAGCTGAGGAAGAAATCAGAGCGCAGGTGACTGAAGATTCTGATTTGCCCTGAAGGTGTGATGGCTGAACAATTAGTGGTGTACCTCCAAAGATGGAGTTAAGCAACAACTGATTCAGGTAATTAAGGTGGAAAGTAGAAGCCTACTCAGTGCCTCCCAAAAGTTACTCCACTCTGCTATGCAAAGAAAAGCAAAATGACAGACCATGCCCACGAATAATGCATCTCTTATCATTTTAAGTATTCAGATTCAAAAGTAGGAGATGAAATCCAGAAACCACGCATGTGTGCAATCAGAGTTGTAAGAGTCTACTCCATTGCTACCTGAAGTCACGCACTATCATGTACTGTAATTGTTCGCGTTTTATTCCTTGAGCCATGAGCAGAGACTTGGATTGGAGGTAATTAGACCAGAGGTTGGTATTATTCAGCTTCATCTCCTGCATTTTGAAAGCTTCATCTACACAGTGTGACTGCCTATCGTATATGAGCAATTTAGATAATTTTGCATGTAATTTCAATCTGCTGACAGAATTTGCTTTCAAAAATGCTTAGTAGAACTCAAAGAAATCTTTCCTATCAAGATACCAGGATTGCACTCAAAATCTGCCGTTCAGTGCCCCGAATACACAGTTAGTGCTCATTTTCCAGCAGTGACACACATTCATGAGCACAGTGAGAGAAGTAGAAATTTGGTAGAGCACAGAAAATTATAATCAATTCATTCATTTAACTGCATGTTGATGCACAGTAATGATGGGAATTTTAGAAGGCATTCAACTGTTTGAGTAAATAGTGGTAGCTTTGGCTGGTGGAAAGAGCCTGGGTGTTAGAGGCATTCGAGATTTTCCTGGGCTTTGAATAGACCATAATCCATTTTGTTGCTCTTCCAAGGAGTTGGGAGTCTGATTTTGTGCAGTTCCCATTGTGTTAGGTGCAGGGAATAGTGTAGTAGCTAATAGGGACTGAGCCTGGCCTAGACAACAGGTGTTACCAAGCACTGGTTGAGTCAGCCCCTGAAATGGGGAGCACTGGAACTGGGGATGGGGAAGATCATGACTTTGCACTTATTGCCATTGAGATGTGAGAAGTCCAAGTGGAAATGTGAAACAGGCGGTCTAATCTAGGTTGGAGATCAGAATTGCTGCCAGTATAAATGTAGACATCATCGGGGTGGTTACCTTGTGATTTAGAGGACTTAATTCCTTAAAGTACTGACCATGACATAGAAACAAAGTGAGTTCAAGTTATAGAAAGTGGCAGTCACCACGCTCTTCAAGAACTGCAAAGTAATTGCATTTTTTTTTAAGAGACAATTCTGCAGTATTCATATAACCCTCATTCCTTTCAACACATGAAGTGGTGCTAAGAAACATGGCCTAATTCCTATTGTATATCTGTTCCAAAGGAAAATATCCCACCAAACCCAATTACAGTCTCAGTTCTTTAGAGAATGTCAGGTCACGTGGTTTCTCCCTGCGCTCTGTCTGCTTCCTCGTGGCCTGGTGACTGGATTTAGAAAGCCAGCACCCCAAGACAAATAGCAGATGAAGGAAGAGAATTCATTAGATCTGCCTTTTTATGAAGAGAGTCAAAGAATTTGCAGACATGCTTTAAATGAGTTACGCATGGAATATATTTTATATCACTGCAATGGAGAGACTGCCCTCCTCTTCCCCTTTTCTCCCCCCCCCCCCCATCTTTCTTCTCTGCTTTCAAAGCCCAGGAGCTGTAATTGGAACCAGGAAAGGAGGGCAGTTATGGGAGGAGATGGAATTAGAGAGGGTACAGGGCCAGGTCAGGGGTGGCCTTGAAGGGCATTGAAGAACCTAGCTTCTTACTCTGGGTGAGTTGTGGAGCACTGGAGAGTTGAGGAGAAGAGTCAAATGACCCTGCCTATTTTTCAAAAGGATAACTGTGTACTATATTGAAAATAGGCAGCAGGGAGCTGAGCAGATCAGTTAAGAAGACATAAGGTAGATGAGAAATAACAGTGGCTGGGATGAAGGGCTTAGCAGTACAGGTGGTGAGAAGCTGTCAGACGCTGGATATAATTTGAAAGAAACTTCTACAGGACTTGCTAATTAATTGGATGTCAGGGTGGGGAAAAAAAATCAAAGATGACTCCAACAATTTGACCTGCTCATCTGTCTGGAAGGGTGGAGTTGG